TCTGTTTCTCCCAGCCCCCCTGCCTTTGCCCAAAGTTGTCTTCCATAGCGAGAGCCTCTGGGGCCCAGCCCCAAGATCCTCTTCAGGGCTCAGTCAAGACACTACAGCAAGCAAAAGGAACTTTTGTATCTGGGGGCAAATGAATTATCTCATACACTGTGCTGGTCCAAACAATTCTCTCTATTCTGTTTCTATTCTAATTCTCCTGTCCTACGTCTAATTCTTCCTAGCTGCTGTTTCTCCCCTCTTCCTCTTCTAATCTAAAAACTCTCTATTTTAAAAAGGAGGCTTGAGAGATAATTTTAAAAATTACAAGAGTTACAGCTCATTGGTTCAAAGTCCATTCCTTTGGAAAGCGGTAAAAGGGCAGAGCCCTCTCCCATGGCCATGCAGTGTCAGTGAAATGAGCTCTGAGGCACAGGTCCTTGGCAAGCGAAGAACTGGCATGCTTTTCTTGGGGTGCTTTGTGCAGTAACCTTGGCTAGACACCTGTGAGTCTGACCTTGCACACAGCTGTAAAGCCCTAAACGTATGGTGGACTTACAAAAAGCCTTTATTCTAGTTTGAACTTGCTCTGAGGTGAAAGTGGGCTGTGTGCAATTAGTCTGAGCAAAAGGAACAAGCAGGCTTGTAAGTGTCCACAGTCCTAGTGGGACAATTAGATCTAGTTATAAAGCAAGTCCTAACATATTTTCTGTATATCAATATTATATAGATAAACAAAAAGTCATCTTACTGACCACACACAGATATATGTACCCAGTAAATGGAATATTTTCATGGGAGAAACATAAAAGCATTGGGAAAACACCCAAAGCTATTCTTGGGGAAGAAATGAAGTGCTTAGGAAGGGACTGGCTTCCACAGCCAGTGACTCCATGGCCTTTCTAGATGGGGCTCTCCATCAGAGAATCACTCATCTGGTAGGTCCGCCTTTTGAACACTAGTGATCACCTGCTGAATACTCCCACAGCAGCTGTTGAACACTAGTGATCACTTGCTGTATACAGAGGAACGCTCAGCACTTCCGTGCTGGGCACTGGATAGGACAGAAAAGCTTTCCAAACCCCTCCTCATCCCCATTAGTCCAATCCCAACCCTGAGGCCATCTGTGGTGTATGGGTGGACTTTCTCTGTCCCGCCAGCCAGTTCTGTCCCACCAGCCAGCTCCCCACATAACCACACAGAGACCTGTTATTAATTATAAATGTTTGGCCAATAGCTTAAGCTTGTTACTAAATGGCTCCTACAACTTAAACATTGCTTATCTACGCTTTATCACACGGCTGTACCCTTTTTTCACCCGTTTGTTCATCTCCTGCTTCCTCTGTACCTGGCTCGTGGCCCTGCCCTTCTTCATCCACACACTCTTTTTGGCATTCTTTTTGTCTGCAAGTCCTACCTGCTTAGCTATTGGCCATTTAGCCTTTTATTAAACCAATCAGAAGGCTACTTGGCGAAGCACATCTTCACAGCGTCCAAAAAGATTATTCCGCAACAGTGCTGGTTACTGGTCCCTGCAGATTCCTATGCCTGCATGGAACTGTTTGGAAAGGGTGTGGCTTTGTTGGGGAAGGTGTCACTGGGGGTGGGATCTGCTCTTTCTAAAGCCCTCCACATTCCTAGCTAGCTTATTCAACACCCCTCCCCCAACTCCCCCCCCCCCTCTGACTGTGATTTTTGTCTCAAAATGTCTCAGATGTTTGAGAGCCATGCCTGCCTGCCTGGTCCAGGCTCTCCTCCATGATGGTCCTCCTCTGTCCTCTGTGACTTTGAACCCCAAATTAAATGCTTCATTGTATAAGTTGCCTTGGTCGTGGTATTTTAGCACACCAAAAGAAAAGTAACTAAAACACCATCACAGGGTGTGAGGCTTCCCTGACACATGGGAGCATCCAGAGCTTGCTCCTGGAGCTGGAGATAGAGGGATGCACACCTGAGTGGGTGAGCTCCTATAACTGAGCAAGTCAATAGAAAACAAAAACAACGTTAGCTAAAGATTACACAAGGCTGATTGGACAATTAGAACAGAGACTGGGGAGAGCTGGAAAGTTATAAACCCAGAGTTAGATGATTGTGGGCTCTCTTTAATCCTCCTAATGAATTCATTGCCTACATCTGATTCTCACAAAAGCCAGCATTCCTTTGGAACTCATGAAGCCAGTTCCCCTATATCAAAGGAGCCATTTTCTTATTACTGTCAGAAGAGGCAAATGGCTATCTGGTTCCTGGTAGTATACCAAAACGCATGCTGGCCTCTAGGCTCCCTCAGATTCACAAGTACCTGTTACACATCTCAGAGTGCATGCTGACATCCTGGCTGTTCTCAGGCTGTCCCTTACGGAAACTGCAGCTCAATGACTTTCCACCCTGCCAGCTTCTCGTTGCCCTTATAACTCTGCTGTTTTGGCTATGTTCCCTCTTTCTCCCCCATCTGTCTAGGTCCTTTTTGTCTTCCTTTCTGGTCTCCATCTCTTTCTCTCCTTTCATGGCCAAGTCCAGCCTACTGGCCATATTGTCTACTTTATTGTCTTTCTCTCTCTGCTCTAGACGCTTCCAGATGTCTCTGGCTGTACTTTTCCTCAAATCTACAATAAAAAAAAAAAAAAAAATAAGCCTTCTGCTGGGCAGTGGTGGCACAGCATCCCTTCATTCCAGCACTTGGGAAGCAGAGGCAGGAAGATCTCTGAGTTCAAAGCCAGCCCGATCTACAGAGGGAGTTCCAGGACAGCCAAGGCTACACACAAAAAACCTGTCCTGAAAAACCAAAACAAGTAAAAACCATTTGGAGCCGTCATGTTCTCAATTTATACAGGCACAATCAGTGACTATTAGGTAAAACTATTCTGATTGTATTAACAGATTACCTTCCCCCCAACCTGTCTGGGACCCAACATTTGGCACCATCTGCCCAGGCCCCATGTTGAGGAGCCATCTGTTCAGTCTAGCTGATTTTTCAAGTCTGTGCTTGGAAGGAGTGTAGATTGAGGAAAGACATAGACCAGAGATAGAGTCAGGAGGGCACCCAGTAAATACTGGGACCAGCCCCAAGTTTATTGTTCCAAGTTCTTACATACCCCAATCAAAAAAGGGAGAAGACTTTACCATGATTCAAGGAACATCCAAAACATCAAGTAACCACACCCTAAACCAAATATCCTATTGTTAAGGGAAGATATCCACTAGCTACACTTGAGGCCAAATATCCTGTTGTCTAGATAAGACATACAATGGCCACACCTTAGGCCAAACGTGCTGTGCTGTTGTTTAACCTTGAAGGAGCAATAACAGGCTCCAACTCTCTGATTAGGTCAAGATGGAACAGAGTCACTTCTAAGGCCCTGCACAGCAGCCCCAAATCTAAGAAATGTCATCACAGAGCACCTGAAACCTATACCAGATCCCCCCATTTTTCTGTAACCCACTCACCTGGTGTTCCCACCCATGTATTTGAAAATGCCTTCATTCTGTTCTGTAGCTATAAACAAACGCTGGTGGAACTCTACACTGCTACTTGGGGGCAACTTGAGTCCTTGGTGCCAGCCATGACCATTGGTATCTAACTCATTTCCTTTGAGGTTAGAACTGTTTCCTGACCTCATACTGTTTTCCTGTCCCAGTAAAGTGAGGTCAGCGCCTTCCTTAGGGGGTCAAAAACCTGAGACTGGCGAGGCCTCCTCTACTGAGCTGAACTGGCTGCAGATATTTGAGTGTTTAGCACAAAAGGAGGGCATGACGTGGGACTCAGCAGCACCTAGTAGCAGGAAGGCAGAGAGTAGGCCCATGGCTATTGAAGAAATTATTAAGGGGGAGGGAGTATGAAGACTAACAGGAAGGGACGTCTTAAGCATGGAAATGAAACCAAAAGTTTTCACTACTATAACAAAGTTGAAACTAAAATTAAGTCTCTATGGCTGTGAGATAATGGCACCTCGGGAAAACTATTCCTTTAAAATTCTGGAGATCAGAAAAACCTGACTCTCATAGACACTAAGTAGCACCATTTCTAATTTTAAAAATTATTTGTTGAGTTCCCGTATGCATAAAAGCATGCATGTGCAGGGCAGAGGAAAACTTGCAAGAGTCGGTGTTGTATGATGTTTTCACTCGTTTTACTTTGTTATCTCCTTTGCTCTTTTTGGGAGGGAGGGGCCTGGCCTTAGCTTGGCTTGTTTTCCTCCAGCTTTTCTTAACTTAAACTACCCCCACCTAGCTTTGGCCTCGAGTTTTACCTTTCTCTATTCCTGTATACTTTTGCTTTCCTTCTTACTCCGCGTCTGGCTGTGTAACTGCCTGGCTGGGCCCGGAGTCCTCCTCCTCCTCTCTCGCTCCCAGATGCCTTTTCTTACAGTTCCCTCCTCACAAGTCTCCTCTCTGCCTGCCAGCCCCTCCCATTCCTCTCTCCTGCTTCACTGGTGGCCGTTCATCTCTTTATTAGACCATCAGGTGCTTTAGACAGGCACGGTAACACAGCTTCACAGAGTTAAACAAATGCAACATAAACAAAAGTAACACACCTTAAAATAATATTCCCCAACAAGTTTTCTCTCCTTCCACTACGTGGGCCCCTGGAATAAAGCTCAGATCATCCATCAAGCCTGGTAACGGGTGCCTTCCCCCACTGAGCCATCGCCACGGCCTCACTAAATAATTCTAAGCTATGGGAAGTCACAGTACTGACCCACACAACTTATAATTTTAAAAAGCTAAAAAAGAAAAAATCTGGTTCGTGAAGACATGAATTCATAGTGGTAGTTTTATTGCACATGAACTATGTTTTACAAAGGAAAAGCTGGGTGTGCCAAGGGTGAATTTATTAGAAAGCATTTAACGAAAGGAAATAAAGCTGCAGCTGACATGTAGCCTGCTGTCCTCACTGGGTAGCCAGACCAGCAGTGTCTGTTTCTCCCCTGCCTTACTTACATCAAGACCTGTGCTGGCCCCGCCCACTGTCGATTTAGCCAATGCGGAGCCGAGGTCAGGAGAGGCTCCGCCCCACGACCTGGCGCGGTCGCCCCCTAGCGGCCAGAGCAAGGACTCGGCAACCCCGGGGCCGTCAGCTGCCCTAGGGGGTCATGGGCACCTCCGAGGCTGCACCGCCGCCGTTCGCGCGCGTCGCCCCCGCGCTCTTCATCGGGAACGCGCGAGCCGCGTGTGCCACGGAGCTGCTGGTGCGCGCGGGCATCACTCTGTGCGTCAACGTCTCCCGCCAGCAGCCCGGGCCGCGCGCACCCGGAGTGGCCGAGCTGCGCGTACCCGTGTTCGACGACCCTGCTGAAGACCTGCTGACGCACCTGGAGCCCACCTGTGCCGCCATGGAGGCTGCGGTGCGCGACGGCGGCGCCTGCTTCGTGTACTGCAAGAACGGCCGCAGCCGCTCGGCGGCCGTCTGCACCGCCTACCTCATGCGGTACCGAGGCCACAGCCTGGAGCGCGCCTTTCAGGTGCGAGCATCCAGGGGCGGGTCTTCCGGGGCGGGCCCCGCATAGAGAGGTTCTTCCGGGGCGTGCCCCATGCTTCACCCTCGGGGCGGAGCTTCTGCGCCCTGGACTATCTGTGGCATCTCTGTCATCTCTTGATTGCAGATGGTGAAGAGCGCTCGGCCGGTAGCCGAGCCCAATGTGGGTTTCTGGGCTCAGCTGCAGAAGTATGAACAAACACTCCAGGCCCAGGCCCTGCTGCCCGGGAACCCATGTGGGCCCGAGTAAGCCGCACCGTTCAGCTGCTGGGTGACCAGGCGTCGACCCCGAAAGGTGTTCCTTCCCTCCTCTTTTCAATAGGCAACTGGTCTCCGGTGTTGCCCACTCGTGATGGCAGTACAGGAGTGCCTGCTGAAGAGGGGAACTTCGTTTATCATGTTTGGGTCAGATCCAAACCAGCGAAGTTTTAGGTAGAGAAAATTGCGTAAAGGATTGATCAGAGTCTGGGAAGCCTAAGACAGTAGACAGAGAGTGTCAGACCAGAGTCCTAGCTAGCTGCATGCAGAACCTCTTCGTGCCTCCTGGACTTCTTTCTGGTCTCTTCTTATACTTGAGCTTAGAATCTTCGAGCAGGAGATCCTGAGCCCACCCTCTTTATTCTTACAGCTGCTATGCCATAGGAGGGAGGCATCTGCCCACCTCACACCACCTTACTTAACTTGTATCGATGCCAGCGCCTGACCTAGAATCGTCAAGCTACCATTAATGCCCTGTGTGCCATCCCCAGCTGGCAGGCAGGCCCATCAGTTGCCACCTTGCCCTTCTTGTTCAGACACAGCGTCTCCTAGACACCCTGTTTCCTTAGGAGCCCTGGAAATCTGTCCAGTCACGATTTAAAGTAGTGAGGGAAGAGCAAAGAAAAACCTGGGCTGTGTGTGTGTGAATTACAGATGCATGGCCACTGGTTAATTTGCAAACAAATATGAGTCAGTGAATAAAGTCCCAGAGTTGCTGTCTATGGTTTCCCTTTCCTACTTCTCCCTGTGTATGGTCTCTGGGGCCCAAGCAGTCTGTTCGCATCAGCTTCTTAAGTTAGGAGCTCTGTCACACCTAACTGAATAGCACCCCCACCCCCGTTTTGCCCCTGAAGAGACTAAAGGGTTTTGGTCACATCTGCCTCTATGCTGTGGGACATACTTGGGTCCCCAGGTGGAGGGTTCTCCCTTAGAATGAAGAATGAAGCTGTCTCACTTAGCAGAACCCAAAGCTGAGGACACAAGAGACACACAGTTCATGATCAACGCCCTGGGGTGCTGGTGAGGACCGTCTTCCCTACCTGCCCCTCCACTTCTGGTTTCTGCTGTAATGAACAAGCCCTTCAGTGACCCTGGTTTAAAATGATTGATACACTTTGTAGGGAACACCAAATTCTACAGGTGTTGTCCACCCCAGGGTTGCTGCACAAGCTGGCTCACCTGACCACTGAGCTTCCTCCCCAGGTCCCTTATGCTCATCCCTTAGAGGAGCCACTGACACTCGGCCATTGAGGCTGCAGAGGCTCGCAGAGAACAGGGCTCCAGGCCCAGGTCCCCTCACCCTTCCTCAGGCCTATATAGCTGATCCCTGTTCACAACACTTTCCAAAAAGCCACTGCCCTCCCTCCCATCAGGGCAGGGCATACCTCCTAACTTGCTGACTTGGCTAGAGTCACCTAGAGGTGACAAAAACAATGCCCAGGTCAGGTTGAAGGATATGGGGATATGGGGTTGAAGGATCTGGATTGCATGGGGTACTTTTCATTCTATTGGTCCTGGAGCTATCCAACTGTAGCTTTGGTTTGGGACTTGGGGTATAACACTGGCTGTAACCACAGGGGCCACTCTGGGCAGCTCTTATCGGTGTTAGGGGGACAGGTTCTTTGGCTGGGCACCATTTGGGGGCTTGGAGTTTGCAGTCTACTGACTCCACCGTGCAAAATGTGCTCTTTGTCTTAAAAGAAGTATGCTGGTTCCTTATATAAATATGTGGTGGAGGAACAGCCAGCCCACTTGTAGAAGGGGATGAATAGCTGGATCAAGGCTGTCCCACATCATCCCTTCTGTTTGCAGAATGGAGTGTCAGCAGGACGGAGGATAAGACCCCAACCTCTGGGGGTGCAATTTGAGAAACTGAGATGGGAGAAACCTACAGTCTACATCAAGAAGGACAAAAAGGAACGCAGGCCACCAGGACAGTGCAATTGAATTGAGAATTCCTTCATCGACAATCTGGTGAACGGGCCACTGGACACCAGGAAGCGGCAGTAGCCTTAACTCCAGGTCTCCTGGCTCATTTTATTTATTGAGTCAGGATCTCAGTAGCCCAAGCTGGCCTCACACACTCCACTTAAAGCCAAGGATAACCATAAACGCCTGATGCTTTAGTCTCCCAACTGCTGGAATGCTTTCCATCCAAGCCCTGTCTTCCTCCCTCTAACCCTTGCCTCTGGATGACAGCATGAGCCTTGAAGTTCTTCCAGAGTCTGAAATGGGGCTCCAGGAGGGATCCCATGTATGGCCAGCTAAGACAGCACATGGCACCTGAGGGGCTACTGCTTAAGAGAGCCATGTTTCAGTGTTCAGGCTGCAGGTGTGGCCTGTTCTCCGCTTCGCTGTGCCTCTCTCACACAGCTAAGGAGGGCAGGACCACGGACTTCCGTATGGGGACTGGATCCAGACAGCTGAGCCCTCCCCAGAAGTGCCACCACAGGCAGCCCTAAAAGCCCCCCTCCCTCAGAATCGGTGCCTGCCTCCTGCGGAAAGAGGTAGCTAACGGGGTAGCTCTCTCCACACCCTGTGTTGGTCCTGGTACTGGAACTCAACCTTCTGAGTTGCCTTGCTGCGCTAGCCGTGAATGCTCCTGCGACCCTTATATTGGCTCGATGAGACAGAACTGCGTTCAACAGTGTCTTTCTGCTTCACACACGTCCCGACTACAAAAGAAAAAAAAAAAAAAAAAAGCCGACCCTAAAACACGGCCAATTCAACTGACAGCTTCTCGTTATTATGCTTTATTTGAATCTAAACAGCCACACCTGTATGGGCCGTGTACTTGACAGTCTAGCGCCTTCCGGAACCGCTTTGCACCACACCGCCGAGGCACAGGCCAACTTGCAGGACTCACGGGAGAATCGCGTCAGGGGAACCGCGAGGATCGTTCCCGGAGTCAGAGGACCGACTGCCAAGGTGCCGCTGGCGTCCCTGGGAAAGCGACAGTCCCGCCTCCAAGGCTGTCCTCCGAGCCGTAACGAGTGCCGAGCGCAGGCTGAGGACGCGCAGCCTCCCCGGGCGCCCGGCCTCGCGCTCCGCTCCGCCGCTCACGCCGCTCCGGCGCACAGGCCCGGGGATCGCACACAGCGCCCCCGGCGGCGGCCGAGACCAGCCCGAGCGGGGCGGCGCACGGCGCGGGGCCGGGCCGGGCGGCTCCCGGCGCGACTTCCTGTTGTGCCCGCGCCCCGCCGCCACCGCCGCCGCCGCCGCCACCGCCGCCCGGGGCCCCTCGCCCACTGCCCGCGGCCTGCAGCGGCCGCCGCCCATGGATTTCACCTAGCGCCGGTGGCCATGGCGGCGCAGTGCTGCTGCCGCAAGGCGCCCGGTGCCGAAGCCGCGCCCGCCCGCCCGCCGCCCGAGCCGCCGCCCGCCCTGGACGTGGCCTCGGCCTCCAGCGCGCAGCTCTTCCGCCTCCGCCACCTGCAGCTGGGCCTGGAGCTGCGGCCTGAGGCGCGCGAGCTGGCCGGCTGCCTGGTGCTGGAACTGTGCGCGCTGCGGCCCGCGCCCCGCGCGCTCGTGCTCGACGCGCACCCGGCCCTGCGCCTGCACTCGGTCTCGTTCCGCCGCGCCCCTGCCACCTCCGACTCGCCCTGCACCTTCGCCTTCCCTGCCCCCGGGTTGGGGCCCCCGCTGCCCGCCTTCGCCGATGCTCCTGGCGCGGAGTCCGCCGGCTGCCCTCTGGCCTTCAGGTTGGACCCGTTCACCGACTATGGCTCCTCGCTGACCGTCACACTGCCTCCCGAGCTGCAGGCGCACCAGCCCTTCCAGGTCATCCTGCGCTACACCTCGACCGACGCCCCCGCAGTGAGTCCCGCCCCGGTGGGCGCCAGGCCGGAGGGTGGTCAGCAGGGCTCTGCAGGCACCCCTCACTTTACTGCTGGGTCAGGTGATATTAACCTACACCCTGCTCCTGGGACACCAGCAAAAGAGTAAGAAGCAGGTGTCCTCCCCAGGTGCCATCAGTAATTCTCAGATGTTGCCTGCAAGTTCTCGGGATCTTTGAGTGGAACCCCAGGTCCAGGCCTGGTCGACAATGGAGATACTCAATAGCATGCTTGTTGTCGGAGGAGCGGGAAAGGGCTGCTTCCCATCAGGGGTTATGTCCCTATCTGGGTACAAGAGAAGGTTCTGGTTGACCCAGCTAAGGCAGTTGTAAGAGTCTAGCTTTGAGGGATGTTCTGGGAGCCTGATACAGAAGGGCCAGCCTGTGACCTGGGCCTTCAGATGTCTTGAGAACACCTTGGTCTGTTCTCTGGAGGTGGAATGAGAGACAGCGGGTGGCAGAGAGGCCTTTCTTGTAGCTGTGATGCTTGGGTTTGGGGCTCCCGGAGCTGGATTGTGATATTCTGGGGCAGGTGCGCGCCCCACCTCCCACCACCACACAGGGTTCTCCTGAGGCTTTCTGTACAGGGCCCCCACCGCCCCACAGGCCCTGATGGAAAGGAAAGGGTGCAGGGCTCGTGCTGTGGCCGCACAGCCAATGGGTTTGCAAGAATGGAGCAGGACCTTTGCCTCCAGAAGCGCCATGCCCCCCTCCAGCTCCCCAGGTAGTAGAGTGCCCGTGTGACATCTACCATGGATACATAGCACACAGGGCCCTTGAAAAGTCCATCTGCCACTGCCTGGGGAGCCCAAATAAACAGGCCAGCAGCCACAAAGGAGCAAGGTGACATCTGGGCAGAAAAAGACCAGATGGGATTCACATCTGTGGGCTTCCTGCACCCTTTTCTGGAGTCCCTGCCATGTGCTGGCAACCGGTCTCCCGGGCTCAGCGCTCAGCCTGCCGTGGTAGTGCGGGGCCTCTGCGGGTATGAGTGTGCCAGGTGAAAACTAAGGGCCCAGCTGCTTCCCGGCTTCTGCCTGTGAATATGTACCGTATGTGCTTGTTCTGTCCGTTACCAGCAGTGGTGGGAATAGGGCCCTCAGGGGGCTTCGATAGACAAGGCTGGTGGACAAGGGCGGCCTGATGCATGGGGCTGCAGTTGCTCGAGACAGGGAAGAGCCGCATGCATGGTCCTCATGCACTGAGTAGCTCCAGAGTGACAAAGTTGATCCACACCTGTGGAAGCAGATTGGCC